CACTCAATTTATTCTCTCCATTAAGGCACACTGGTTGCATAAACCCCACCTGTCAGCCTGTCGAGCTGAGAGCCATCTCGCCGCGACCTGTGTGAATGGAAATCGTGGCTGTTCCAGATGGCTTACTGTGATGTCAGTGGAGGGGATCAATGAGGTGGGCACTGCGAGGGACCTGACAGGAATGGTAAAGGGGGCTGCTCTCACAGGATGGTCAGGATGGTGTGAGGTCTGTGGGTTGCTGCTCTGAGCCCAGTGGAGGATTTTTGACATTCAAGAATTTTCCCCAGTTGATGTAAAGATTACCTCAGGAAAAAAACAAATGTGGTCGTAGGAAGAGAGAAGGGTTGTATTTGGTGCAGAACTCAAATAAATAATGACACAAATGTCACTGCAAACCAAATCGAACTCCCTCTGTAATTGTGCTCTTTCGATTCTTGCAGCAGCTACCCCTGAGGAAACTCCCTAAGCTATTTGTTTTTGATATTTAGAACTTTAATTATGTATTATATGAATATCAAAGCGTGTAAATTAACCTGCAGTGTTCCCTCTTGTGTGCTCGTCCAAATCCATCACACAAATGCTCATCCATATAAGGCTGTTTGACTCAGCAGAGCCTATTTGGCATTCTCTGGAAAACAGCAAAAAAGTAAAAACATTTCCACTGGGCTGGTTAAATGATTGGGGTCTTTCTTCAATCACAGCTGGCAGATGTTTTTAGGGCTGAACTCGGAGTGCCTCCGAGTGGCTTTGCCTCAGTTCAAATATATGAGCGATTTCACTAAACAAATCTGCCCGGCTGCCTGGCACCCACACTGGCACCGGTGTATGACTGGTCAGCCAAAGGAAGGAGGGAGCGGGCCCAAGAGTGTAATAAAGACAGGCAGTACGTTTTTCAAGTGGTTGATATCCTGTGGTAGCTGGCACTCTTCATCTGCAAGTCATGTGTTCCAGAGTTTTCAAGAGCTACTATAATGTGAAGGAATGTGTGGCTGACGGATCTGCATAGTATTATTGTTGACTAGAAAATATGAAAATAACAGATTATGTTTTTAAAGAACTGGGCTTTTTATGTGACTTTTTGTGGTTTCATTGTTTTTTTGTTGTGGTTTCCTGTTTAATTTCCGATCAAACACAGAGTCAGTTGAGGAACAGCAGCACCAGAGCTGGAGGGGATTCAATGTCTCACTGAACGATACTCAAACCGGTCTATTATGTGCAGTGACATATAGATATAAATGTGCACCTTCCAGCTAAGTCTTGTTTAACTCTAATGCTTGTATTATGTGGCAGTGTAGTTGATTGGAAGATCAAAAACAGACTTTTTGAAGAGTAAAACTTCTGTTTCTTGGGGGAGTATAACACTGCCTCTCCCAAAGACAATGTTTTCTGAGAAGAATACATCCCAACTGAGATTTTTAGCGTTGAATATCAGGTTTTAGGTATCAACACCTGTCACTTATTATATTTATTTACCATAGCCACACAGCGGCCATTTCCCTCTGACGTCATGCTCAGTGTGGGAGGCTTAAATGCCCCTTGACATTGTACCGTGCTGTTCAAGATCTACAAATCCTTACAAAAAAGAGAATTTGACAAACTTTTATAACTTCACTCCTTCTGGTTTAAACAGCAATCAAAAGGCAATGATGAACTTAAACTGGTCAATATTTCAAAATGAAACAATAGATTTATTTGACGTATTTTGATCATTTTGGGTTTTTACTGATAAGCAACTGAAGAGACAATGGTTTGTGAAAATAAGACAATTTCAAAATTACATTTGATAACGCATAGCTACCCACAGCCAGGTCCCAAAATTAACATTCAGTTAGCACAGCCCCTTTTTTATTTTTAAAGGTTTATTTTTAGATTTCTTGAGCACTTATTGAAGAGACAGGACAGTGGAGAGTCAGTGCAGACTCTCTACAGAGTCAGAAATTGGGGAGAGACAGAGTGGGGAAGGATATGCGGGAAAGGAGCCACAGGTCGTACCTGAACCCTGGCCGCCCACCACTAAGACCCTGTAAGATTGGTTACAATTGCCTTCCCTATCACATCTATAGCTCTGTCCATTTACATCAGAATTGAATAATTCACAGACCCTGGTAGAAACTCCACCCATCCTCTCTACTATATAATAATAATAATAACTTTATTTATATAGCACCTTTTAAAAACACAGGTTTACAAAGGGCTTTGACAAACAGCAAAAACAAGAACAAAGCAAGCTAAACCAAACACAGAAGAACATAAACAACAGCAAGAACATAACAAATGCAAAATACTAAAAATAATTAAATACAATTCAACAGAAAAGAACCCATAGTGCACGATACCCAACAGACATATATAACCCGACCATCACAAGAACCATTATAAGAACCCAGGCAAAACAAGAACCCAACAACATGAGCTGAGACCAAGAGGACCAAACATTTAAAAAGATGTAAGAAACTAAAAGAGCTAAAAGCAAATAAAAAGATAACCGCAATAAGAAGGTAAGAGCAGTACAAGAAATAGAAACAAGTGGTTAAAGGATCAAAAAGACCAAAACTATAATATTAATAAAAACAAAAAGTAAAGATAAATATAAGACATAAATAGACAAAGTAAGTAAGATAAGAAATTACCAAGTTAAAACACAAGAGGAGTTAAGATAAGAGCATAAATACGAGATAAGAGCATGACTAAAAGGACAGTAAGAAGTAAAAGAATATAAAAATGGTAAAACCAGTAAGAAAGACATTAAGAAGATGACATCACATAAAAGCAAGTCAAAAGTACGTTTTAAGAAGGATTTAAAAGAATTGAGGGAATCTGCGAGTCTTATCTCCTCAGGGAGGTCGTTCCAAAGTCAAGGGGCCCTGACTGAAAAGGCCCGGTCACCTTTAGTTTTAAGTCTCGACTTTGAAATAACCAAGAGGCCGCCACCTGAGGATCTAAGACTGCTGGACTGGCTCGTATGGTGTCAGTAGCTCTGTTATATAGCTTGGAGCCAGCCCCGTCCGTGCTTTAAAAGTAATGAGTAAAATCTTAAAATCAATTCTAAAACTTACAGGAAGCCAATGTAATGAAGCTGGAGTGATGTGATGTCGTCTGTCACAACCAGTAAGAAGCCTAGCTGCTGCATTTTGGACTAGCTGGAGGCGGGACAGTGACTTATTTGTGATTCCGAAAAAGAGGGAGTTAGTATTGTTTTAATTTTGGAGATGGTGCGTAGATGGAAGAAGCTTGATCGGACAACTGTTTTGATATGGGATTCAAAGGTGAGATTGCAATCAAATGTTATTCCTAGATTTCTGGCGGTGGGTTGGACATTGGCGAATAAGGGACCGAGGCTGCTCTTTGAAATATGAGTGGAGTTTGGCGGGTTGAATACTAGGATTTCAGATATAGAATTGTTCAGTTGGAGAAAGTTTTGTGCCATCCAGCAGTTGATATCGTTTAGACAGTTTCTGACAGCAGATAGGCTCCTAGCGTCCTCAGGTCTCAAAGGAAGGTATATCTGTGTGTCGCCTGCGTAGCAGTGAAATGAGACTTTGTGGCGTTCAATTATTTGGCCAAGAGGCAGCATATAAATGGAGAATAAAATGGGACCTAAAACCGAACCTTGCGGTACACCACAGGTAATGTAAGAGGTAGAGGAGGAGTAGTTACCGATGGTGACCGCAAAGGTTCTATCTAAAAGATAAGAGTAAAACCAGCTAAGTGCATATATCCTTCTGGATGGTACGTCATGGCTCTAGTCGCTCTTCTTTTGTTGGCCTCCTGCCATTTGGATTAGGGAGCCACAGAATAAAGAAACTAATACATTCTGTAAAGGCTACTGCCTGTCCTGAGACTGCCTCCCACTGTCACAGCTCTGCCTCCACCTTAAAACTAATCAAATCAGATTGTTAGATTGTCCGAGCCCATCTCTTGTGGCTTCTCTAAACCTTTAAATAAAAACATTCATGCTCACTCTTTTCACTGGGATAGCATAGGAGTGCACAAACCCAATTTAACTTTGAAAAAATGATCAAAAGAAATGGAGTAGTTGATGTGAAAATGTTTTGGAGCTGTCGTTTTTGACAACTACTCTGAAGTGTGGTAGTGTATGTTTCTTTGATGACAAAGCCAGCAAAGTCACAAGACTCTTCAAACTGCCTTTTCTCAGACATAGTCACTGGTTCACCTCTTACTTCCAAAGCAGATGTCTTTATCCTGCACAGGATTTTTGTTAAATGGCAAACCGATCGTTTTTTTTTTTTTTTACAACTTAAACAGTTTATATTTCCTTAAATAGGCTACTTTTCTTTTTTCATTTCCAATTTTTAAATGTCAATAAAAAAAATCCTGTTACAAGCGCAGTAGTCAAACTAAATTCAGTTTTAATGGAACATATTTTATAGCAGCATCAGACCCAGGGCAGGCCAGATGGGAATTAGATGGTCACCCATGAAACTCAAACATCAGCCTCTTTATATCACAGAGCAGTTTGTTATAAGACACCCATAGGACACTGCCTGTGCAAATCTGCTGCACCAATCCTGGCACAGAGCTCTGAAGTTGTTCGTCATTTGGATTAAAAATCGTAAAAACGCTGTTCCCATCTATCATGAGCATCACTAGAGGGAGTAACAGTGAAGCCTGTGGATGAAATGGCAACACACAGCCAGCATGGTAAACAACTCTGCAGGCAAGACGCAGCAGCACCAGCCTGTGCTACAGCAACAATCACAGAGACAAAGTTATTTTTCATAATATGCAATTTGTGCACAGTTTTTTTTAATAGAGAAAAAGCTGCTTGAACAACAGAATACACAAACTACAAATAATGAATCCAGACATTCTGAGTTGGTGTGAGAAAAGATGGAAAAACATGCACCGACAAAACTCCACATCCACCTCCCCCTTTCTCCCACAGCAGCTGCACAGAAAGTACTGCGCTGAATGCGACCTGCAGATTCATAAAACTTGAAAGCCCCGCCCACTTGACAGCAAGCGTCTGTTTACGAAAAGTCACGGGAACAGCATGGAGAGAAAGGTGCACAGCAGAAAATGTCATTCCGTGCTGCCAACAGGGGGAACAACTAGACTTTGCGGAAAGCCAACTGCGACCGTCACAATGTAGTCCGCCACGTTTGTTTGAGCGACATTTGGATGCTTTCTGACATCTGCATTTGAACGTGGAGCTTCTTGTGCAGTGGGGCTGCTTAACGTGCTTAAAGGGAGTATTTCTCACTCTGAATTATCAGCCACACCGACTTAAAACAATGGCGAGGCGTAAAAGGCGCAACCTACAGATTTGCTGCGCTTGAGCCAAGACTGGACTACACAGAAACATCTTCCGGGCTTCTGCAATACAAGTGGGGAAAGGGGAAAAAGGTACTCGGGGCGTTATGGAAAGCCCGACCGAGAACCCTACCAGGGCTGTGGAATATTTGAAGGAGCTCAACAAGATCATCGAGACCCAGCAGGAGTTGCTGGAGAGGCAGAGGGGAAGGATAGAGGAGCTGGAGCAGCAAGTGTCCGACTTGTGCACAGAGAACGTCTGTCTGAAGGAGGAGTACCAGCGGCACCTGGCAACCTGCAGGCTGCTGCAGGGCAGCAACAGCCTGGTCACACTGGGAGCCATAAATGAGCACATCACACAGGAAAAGTAAGACAGAACATCAAGTCCTATTTGTATTCATCAAAGTTAGATAATCTCATTCTTTCACTGTTTAATAAAATCATAAATCGTAAATATTTAAAGTTACAAATTGCACTAGTTTTAGAGTAATGATTAACAAATAGTTCAACACTGCCACACAGTGATCTGCAGTTGCAACATGACTACATTGTCATTAGATGCTTTCCTTTTACTGTAGCCCTCTGATGTCCACTGATAGAAAAAATAGATCCTTGAATTAAGCAAGGCACAGTTATAGAGGGAGTTTTCCTGACCATATTTGGCAATGTGCAAGAAAGCATTTGCTGATAGCACCCAGCATGACCAAAGTGTTGGTTGACAAATTAGTATTTTTCTTCGATAGATTATTTCCTGTCCAGTTGTGTTGTGTCTTTTTTTTTCATTTGAGGTCTACAACTTCCATTGTGTGGGAACAGTTGAAATGCTTAGCAAATCCAGTTCCATTCCTTTCATGCTAAACCGTATTCTTATTCTATTGCCAGAGCAAACTAAATTGTTAATTGTCTCTGATGATTCTGCTTTGTCATCCCTATTTCTGTCAGTGTCTAATTTTCCTAGATATACACTCTAGAGTCCAAACTGTGTCTGCATATTAGAGCTCCCAGTTGTGTCAAAAGAGGATTTCATGTGCACGGAGAAGCACATTAGTCCAGGACACGGAGTGCAATAGCCACAACCTCAGGGTTGCAAAGGCAAGCTCTTGGGATGGATTCATTATGCAATTATGTATTCGTCTTGGCCCTTCCTGCAGGCAGTGGGTTAGGCCTCGCAGAGCAGAGCAGGTTTAGGCAGATGTAGAGGAGCATTATATCAGCAGAGCTTTTAAAACCTTGATGGTCAGTCAGGATTACGCTCCATGCACCTTTTTGTTTTAAAGTTCACACTCCGTCAGCTATATCTCCAGAACACCTCTGCACGCAGACATTTAACTCAGCGTTTGACAGGCAGAAGGATCATGTGATCATACTTGACCTTTGTGTCCAGGCGATGTCTCCATGTCACGAAGATCAGTGGCAGCAAATCAATACTGATGACTCACGGACTGTATGTCTTTGCTGGCTGATAAAACCCGACTCATGAGATTAGGCCGTACTGTAACACTGACCTTTAGCTCGCTCCCTGCATAAATCTCTCCCAGGCTTTATGGCAGTATTTGTTCTGATTTCCATGGAAATTCAGTCCATCTCCATCACTCATTCCGTACTGTCACAATATCTGAGCACTATTTCAGTCCAGCCCTGGTAGACCGGCACAGAGTTCAGTGCATAGCCTGTGGTCACCCTGGTGAACCTGATGGACAGTGATAGCTGTTAATAATGCCAAGTGTGGTTTATGGAGGATACAGGATTTAAAATGTCATTTAAATGTTGTGAGCAGGATCTAAAGCAAGACTGATTCAAAGATTTACAAAAGGTCATTGTTAAACAGAGAAACAGCATTTAAAATGATTAAATTCTTGCTTTAACTTCTTTCCACTGGCCTTGGTCAGTGAGACAATGCCAACCAGAACACTTCAGATACCCTTCTCTAAGACTTTCCATCCAGACTCCTGGTTTTCCCAAGGGATTTCGAGGAATCCCAAGGCTGAGTGTCTTCTCTTAATCGTCCTTTGAATGCATCTTCCAAAGGTAGATACAAGCATCTGCTTGAATGCTTAAACACATTTTTAAAAGGTTTATTTTGGGGCTTTTTATGTCTTTTGTTTTAGAGATCAGACAGTGGATAGAGTCAGAAATCAGGGAGGGAGAGAGTGGGGAATGACATGCCGGAAAGGAGCCACAGGTTGGATTGGAACCTGAGGTCCACAGCCTCTCTACATGGGTACCACCAGGCTACCAGTACCCCTTGAATGCATTTTAAAATATCGTCTCAGGCTTTACAGACTTGTTGTTGGATACTTTTTATTTCAAGCTATGCTAGCAGCAGGGCTCTATTAGCAATAGCTGCCTGTTGGTTGGTCTATCCATTGCTTCCCCCCCTAGCTTAAATGCCTAGAAAATATCTTCATTTGTCTAAGACTTTACTTCAGGACTTAACTAATGACACACCATCAGTCACAGCTTTGGGTTGGTCAAACGTTAGAACTTATTTTTTAGCATTTATCTGAAAGCACTGCTCTGCCTAAATACAGCCTCACAGTGTTGTAATGTCTCAGTAGACTGTTAATCTTGTTGATGTTTGTTAGACTAAATTCTGCATGTGTGAAAATAATATTACTTTCAGTAGACCTTAGTTAGTCACCTGAGCAGCTTACTGACTGCCTATACCTTCTTTTTTTGTCTTTTGTCCCTTTATGGTGACAATTATTGATTTATTAGTTTATTGCATAGACAGAGAGGAGACCCTCAACCCCATCATTTACACATTTTGAAATACTTCTTGACACCCCTAACAGATCTACTTCCTCTGAGTGTGTCAGCCAGCTACTCAAATGTGTATAAGCTGGTGTTCACTTTGGACACGTAAGAAAACAGCTGAGAAATAATCAAAAGCATCAGAGCAAGTCTGCACAACATTATCAGCAAACAGGAGCGAGTATAATTGCTTTTACAGGGCAGACTAAAGACCTGTCCTCCATTAGAATATCCCTTCCATTATCAGAGGAGAGGCACACCCAGCTACCAGTGACATGATAATCTTTGATTAAGGGTGACACGTTTGTTTGACAGTATGCCAAGAATGTAGACACTGTCTTTGTGCTGTAAGGCCTGTCTGTCTTTTCCCCTCTCTCACTGGTGGTTGTCATTCTAACTATGCAACCAGGAACTGATGTACCCCGCTAAGTAAGCCGTAAGAAGGAGTTTACTAAAATAACTGCAGTTTTTTAAGCTACTGCTATTTAGTTTGAGTTCAGTAGCCGCTGCTCAGCGCCATGTGGTAAATCTAGGTTTTATGGCGTTGTCACTACCTGGCGAGCTCACATAAACGGAGCTTAGGTCTGTTGAAGGTGGTTATGCTGTTTGGGTTGCAAGGCCTATAAGGGCCCTGTGGTAGTTTCTGTAACTTATCAGGAACTGGAATGAACAGTTCACTTACCTCACCTGCACCAATCCTATTCATTAGGACACAAATATATTTTGTGTATTTCAAATAGAAGTAAGAATACCAGTTCCGTTTTGTGTGCTGTATGATTTACATTACATACATCTTTTGTCCAGTATCCAGTATCCACATAATATTCTTATGGGTTTACCAAAGTCCCTGAAGCCCTCAAGTGTCTCTGAAAGGGTTCTTCTTTGTTGAAAACTTTGGGAAATATGCTTGTTTTCTTTCTTGCTACTGTAAAACTTAGTTGAAAAGAGGGATTTAACATTTTCATGTGTCGGACGCTGATTATGAATCCACAGCTGCATGAGAGATGTTTTGCATAGCATAGCATAGCATAGCATAGCACAAAGACTGGAAACAGCTAATCTAGGTGAGTCCAAAAGTTACAAAATCCTACCAGCACCTCTGAAAATCAACAAGTAACACGTTATATTGTGTCAGAGAACTGGGAGGGAAAAAAAACTTACGTACATAATGCCAATTGATTTTTCTTATATGCTGAGTCATGAATCATCTTGCTGTGGCAAGCTAACTGTTGAGCTCATGCTGGTTGTAAAACATTTACGAGGATGGAAAATAAACATGAGGGGGGTCATAGGAAGTTGATATTTTTCTTTGTATGTTATTCTCAGCCTTCAGTGACCATGCCTTACACCCATGTTATTTTCCTGCTTTTGTAGTTCTTACTTCTTTTCTCTTTTGCTTGTTTAAATCGACATACTACTTGTGTAATGCACTAGTGCACGTTGACACATCACATGGAATTCTTAGTCCAATTTACTCTTATCTCAATGTAGACATACCTGTCAGTTGGTAGATTTATCTCCTTTTGTTCGTTGTAGTTATTTCTATCCGTTTCCAATTAGTTATCAGCTGTTCTGTCAGTTACTCATAGTGTTATAGTGAAGTCAATTATGTTTAAAAACTAGTTATGTATAGACCGTCCTCTGCTGAATGAAACACAAGATTGTTTTCTGTCCCTTTGAACACCTTTCCCTTGCACACTCCTTTTTAAAAACACAACTCAGAGAGCAGGAAATGTGATGCATCACTGATAGTGGATCCTGGTCTGCCATGTCAACAGATTTCTCTGTAAATTCTGCTGAACCTGCTTCCACGCACGGTGTCCGTCAGTAGGCCATGATGTGCGGCTTTTTTCACTTGTATTGGAAATCCTTTCGATGTGCACTGACCCCGATGTCCATCCATAAACTCGCCCACCTGAGCTATTGGATGGGCCGATTCATCAGAGGAGGAGCTTCACAGATTTTTATGTTCAAGTTTAAGAATAGGTAAACAGATGGTCAAAGCATCCTAAGAATAAGCAATCACACACAGATCAGGTTTCTCCTGCTCATGGTTACGGAGATGCCTGCTGTGTCAGCCCTTTAGTCCAGCAGTATTCATGCTGACCCCATGCAGTTCTCTCTGCTAATGGTGTGTGTTTTTAAACAGCAGTATACTGTAACTTATATCCCCTGTGCTCACTTAGGAATTAAATGGCAGCCATAACAGACGATTGAGTTGCACGCTTTTGAAAAAAATCCTTAATAATGACTTTTCATGGGCAGTTAAGACTGACTTTAGTAAATGCTTTTGCAGGCTTTCGAGTGCGCACCTGGTCCGTCTGGCTGTCAGTAGTAAATTTTAGTGGCAGTGATGGAAAGCAACCATACAGTATACAATTACTCAAAAAGTACACTTACTTCTCTACTGCCTCCACACAGTTTCGGCAGATGGCTGTTAAACATGAATCTGGTTCTGCTCGAGGTTTCTACCTCTTGCAGTTTTTATCTTGCCACTGTAACTTTGCTAAATGTTGCTAAGTGCTGTGCTCATGATGGATTCATGTTGGGTCTTTGTAGATAATATAACAAAGAGTAAGATCTACTCCTTCTCTTCTAAAGTGTCCTGAGATA